AAGACCTGACCTCCTCTACCTTTACACCTGCAAAAATAATTCATGGAGATGTAATGGACTGATAGGCCTTCTTCGACGTGCGTGCCTGTGTGTCATTTTCAGGAGGAGATGCGTCAGACGGTAGCTCCAGCAGAGCCCGTGCAGTACTACTTCACTCTGGCCCAGCAGCCTGGAGCTGTGCAGGTACAGGGCGCACAACAGGCCCAGCAGCCCGGCGCACAAACAGCCACGACCATCCAGCCTGGACAGATCATCATCGCCCAGCCACAGCAAGGACAGGTAGTACTAATGCCCCGTTGGAAGATCTTTTCACAGTGTTTGGCACAAACCACCTCACAGAATACAAATGATACACCTCAAGATTTAAAGAAGGAATAACAAAATTAAACCACAGCTGGATATGAGAATTTTAGGCAATAATAAGTGTGACGTGGACAAGTAAGTGAACAACCGTCTACAGCTGAGAGGCTTAACTGCCCCCTTCTAAACACAAATTAACAGTTAATGAAGCCCATATTGAACTTCACAAAAAGGACCCGAAGGATTACTTCTCCCACGTACTTTAAGTAGCACTACCTCCACCCAGTCGTGGGAATAATGCTGCGAAAGGCTTGTTACATCGGTCATCACACCTGGCTTTATTGATATTAGCTCACATTCTGTAGCTGACCACTCTCCCACTAGCTGGAGTAACTGAACTGCAGAACACACCCAGCGTGAATGATTTTGAATTTCCACTACGGGGGATCAATAAGGAACATCTTACCTTAACTACACACATGCATATCCTCCCTCTAACAAGCCCACAGAAGAAACATCTGAACACCGCTAAACAGAATATTCCCTTCTCTATTATATATTTATGTTATAAATTATACTATAAATTTGTGCTGTTTTTGCAATATCATATCTATCTAATATTGAAACAAATCATACGTACAGTGTGTGAATAATGGTTGAGTTTCTTAAATCATAAAGTAAGCAGTTTATATTTTGCCTTCTAAGGGAAGGACACAGCAAAAAAAGAGGAAAATAAACTCCTCAAGTCTAGTTTCTCATCTTACTTGTGCGGTGTGCTTCAGTTATGTAGAAATGAGCTGAAACAGTCTGTAGCACACACATACAAAAAACACACTCTGTTTCTCACACAGACACACACACACACACACACACACACACACACACACACAGGGTATAAGGGGGTGGGCATTCTCCATCTGGATCACAGTGTTTTCACCAGTCAGTAAGAAAACAAAATGCGTATTCAGGGACACCTTTCAATTGTCTCACTTTCTAATGGTCTCATTCCTACTACGTTAGCTGCTAAGCTCTCTTTCTCAAGCTTGGTCTCTGCATGTCATGTAGCCGTGCTGCTGGACTGCTGTGGTGCTTCATGCTGCTTCAGCAGACTGCCTTTAGCTGAGCTGTCATACTCATTTAGACCTGGCCCAATTCACGAACACTGCTACTGCTGCAGTCCCTGCTGAGAGCAGGGAGGTCACAGTTTGACACTCACTTCACGTAGACTCCATTGTAGGCTATTTACAAGGTAAAGTAAAAGGTAGGCCTTGAGGGTATAAGTGAAAGTTTTAAATTTGACTCACCATAAAAGATTTGTTTATCAAGTGCTTTTGAGATTAAATAAAAACTTGGAATCATTGAAGCTTCATCTCAATCCCTCTATCACTGCAGCCTGCTGTTTCGTCTATTATCTCAATCGAACATTTTTTTAGTATTTAAGTAACATCACAAGTGTTTGCGGGTTAACTTGCCACTACCCATCAGGCACATGACGTTGCATGCTATTTACAGTTGGTTATAACAGATTTATTCTGTGGTGTGAAGAGTTTAGAATAAAAAGAAGACAAAGAAAAGATGGTAACATTTAGCGTGAGAAAAGAGGATGGGCAAAGATCTCTGTTCACACCCTTTATTTATGTGTCTGTGTGTCTGTTTGCAGAGCTTTCAGTGTCACTAGTTGTCACTGTTGTACCAATTCTGTCATGTTTCTCTCAGGTCACCTACATTCTCCTAAGTACTTATGTATGTCCAAACTCCACCATGATTTTTTTTTTCTTTCTGACCTTTCACCTCAGCTCCTTTTTTATCATTCATAAACATGTCACTAAATTTCATTTGCTTAGACGTCACTGTTTGCTGCTAACCTTTAAGCTTTTTACGTGTACACTGTACACATGCTTACGTTCATGTGTCAAGTTGTTGCAATCGCTGCTTTCTCACAGTGTGTCTTTCTGTCATTTTCTCATTCTATTCTGTCGGGCCATCAGATGCTGCAAGGTGCCACCATGCAGCAGTTACAGCAAGTGCAGGTGCAGTCACAGGGCACACCCATCACGGTAAACACACATGCACACATCCATTTATTTGTCCTCTAACCACACGCACGATACCGCGCGCACACACACACACACACACACACACACACACACACACACACACACACACACACACACACACACACACAGGTTGCCACAGCACTGTAGCTGACTGCTGCCTTCAAGCTCTGTTCTAGTCAGGTGACATGAGATCAGGTGGCCTTTCCTAGATAGTGTGACAGATGAAAAAGAGAGGGCTTGAAACCTGCGTTGTCACCTTATGTGCCCACATCTTTTGTGCCTGCCTGATGCTCTTTTAACAGCCTTTAAGGATACATAAGTGCCATGGTGCTGGTTAAAAAGTGATTCCAGGGAAGTTAGTGATTCACTGGTTCTGTGCGTTTTGTCAATCATAAACTACATGTCTGCACCAGTTGTTGTTGTTGTTGTTCAGCAACTAATGTGTTACTGCTGTCTCTGTCCCCTTCTGTTTATCTGTCTCTCTTTCTGCATTTATCTTTCCTTTTCTCTTATCTTTACCCTCCATTAGAGTGCGCCCGTGGCCATGCAGGTGAGTGAGGGCCAGCAGGTACAGATTGTCCAAGCCCAGGGTCAAGCACAGGCAGCTCAAGCCCAAGGCCAGACCATGCAGGTCATGCAGCAGATCATCACCAACACAGGAGAGATCCAGCAAATCCCAGTAAGAAACGGGGTCAAGCTGAAGTAAACGTGATTAGGGGAGTGATTGATGAGCCAAGCTGAAAAGGTCTGGGAATTGAATGAGGGGATGAATAGATGGGCTCAGGTTAAAAGAGATTACATGGCTAAAGTAGTTTGTGTTTTCTGCATGTATGTAGATCATCAAACATTAGTTTTAGAAAGTTAACAATTCCCCAGAGCAAAGTGAATAATTGTCATTGCTTTTGTTCAGGGTAGGAAAATGGCTGTGTCCTCTGCGTTCCAATGACCTTTGGTCTGAACCACACTGTGTCTCCCCCTTGTGTTGCTTGAGTGTAGGTGCAACTAAACACAGGCCAGCTACAATACATCCGTCTAGCCCAGCCTGTCTCCGGAGCACAAGTGGTCCAAGGACAGATTCAGACTCTTGCCAACACCCAGCAGGTGATCATGACAGCAACAAAAACAGCATTTATGAAGCTAATGATCTGATTATACTGTTAGTTTGTTTATAATTACCGTTGTTTATTTAATTTAACTTGTATGGTTTACAGATCACACAGGCAGACGTGCAGCAAGGACAGCAGCAGTTCAACCAGTTTACTGACGGACAGGTAACCGATGCAAAACATATATCCAACATGACAAAGCTGTAGTAATTACAGTGACATTTTGAGCTAAATATTGAACTTGTATATTTTATTTGTTGCCGGGTGACCCCTGATTCAGAGTCCTTATTTCGGGCTCGTTCGCATTGTTAACATTTGTCATTTTAGCAACTGTACACAGCTGGATTTTTTACTACCTGGCATGTGCCTCCTTATAGAAAAATGCAAGTAATTTAATCTTAATCCAACCAAGATTAATTAACCAGGATCAACTTAATCCAACTGTTAGTTACGACTATGTCAAATCAGAATTAGACAGTTTAATTTAAAATACAATCAGTAAAATATTTTATTGAAGAAATTACCTAAATGTCTCTTTGTTACAACCCAGTAGCTGTCTAGAACCATGTAGCTGGATGTCATCCCATTAAAATCCAACTACACACAGACCATCATCCGTCTCCTCTTTTACAGCAGTTGTATCAGATTCAGCAGGTGACGATGCCAGCGGGACAGGAGCTGACCCAACCGATGTTCATACAGTCCACCAACCAGACAGCTGACGCACAGGTCACGCAGGTCAGCACCGAATGAGCTCAACCAGGAACCTTTTCTCCACACACACCACATGCATACCAGCCCATGTGACGCCGACAGATGCCACCAACTTCGACAATGGACGCTTGATAACCTTGATTTTATTTTTTGTAATAAATTTAGTACACTGGATTTAAAAAAAAAAAAAACAAAAAAAACCCCAAAGGGACACTGATTGACTCATATGTTAACTTTCATCCATACTTAGACAACTTTTGTACACACATCTGTAGAGAAAATATTCATCCACTGCCACAGTCCCTATACACAGACCAACTGAATTCTTTTTCATGTCCAAGTTTAAAAGATTTTGAAAACATGAAAAAACAGTGTGCTTTATTCCTGGCGCCTCTCCATTTGGAAATGAATGAACTGAAAGTGGAAATGTCCGTCTCTTTCTACATGACCTGGCATGTCTGCAGTTAAAGGAAGCCATGGGATTCCTCACCTCCTGCTTTCCTTCTGGGAAAACATGAATCATACCCTCTTTTGTTGTTTTTCAACTAGTTGATTGATAAAGTGAAGCCATATACCTCAGATATCACTTTTTACAGCAGGTCAATCCAATGGATCTCAAGAAGAGGTTGTAAGGTTAAATGATAAATTTCATGTAGTATCTTGTTTCCCACATTGACGATGAAGCGTGACTTTATGTTGAAAGGGCTTCAAACTGTATAGGTTCATTGTGTGTGTGTGCTTGTATTTCAAGCACCCTCATCACTGTCATCTTTACTCTTCCATTTTGTTTCTTCATTCACTCTTTCTTCACCCCTCTGTCTTTAGAGCAGGGAATCTCCTCTCTGCTTCTATGCAGTTTCACACAGCCCTCTCTGCCCGGGTGGTTTTGGAGTCTTGTGCCCTGGTTTAAGTCTCATGTACAAACTCATGACTCTGTCTGGAGAAAAACAAACACCCTTTTTATAGAACTCTCATTTTCCCCCCAATTCAAGTGTTTTTCTTTAGGTTTTGAGATGATGTTTGGCCTCATATCTTCCCCATCATTTTTGTACAGTAATGATTATTATCAATGTTATTATTGTTTTTGCATGTAGTTCAAACTGCCAGCATGACATGCAATAGATAGGTACAATTTTATTTTTAACGTTCCTTTTTGTAAACAAACTTTGTTTGTGAGAAAAAATAAAAACCATAACTTGTGTAAGAGTCGTGTTTTTATAGTGTTTTTCAAAGTGAGTGTCATCAAGTACTAATCTTTGGTTTTATTGTTTTATTTTAGGTTGAATTAAGCACCTTATTGTGTGTGGACTGTAGACAGGGAGACAGGAGAGAAATGCAACAGCACACCAAGAGATAAGACTTGAACCAACCCAGGCACAGGTAGACACATCTCACCACCAGAGCCCAAAATATCATTGCCTTTGTTGCTTTTAGAATAACTTTTATCTAATAGATATGAAGTTGAAGCAATATTGTCAGACAAAACGTATTTTAAATGTTCAAGACTCTTTAATTGTGGACACATGAAAATATTGGCGGTTTTAATGGTGCTAGTGTTAATGTTGGTGTGAGGCTTGTGTTGTTTTACCAAATGGCCATAGGAGGGCAGCACTGATCTAATAACCACCATTACACTGTAATAGGGGACAAGATTTATTGCCAAACACAGGTTTACAATTTTTCACCAGGAGCGTTGTTTAAGGTGCATCGACAATCTACCCAATATCTAACCATGTTGCAACCAAACTAGACAATATGAACACCACTAATCTTATTTCTGCTGCCCTCCTCGAGTGCTACAAAAGCTTCACGTGCTACAAAGGGCAAGCGGTTAACAATAGAGTCACGAGTTATTTGGCTGGAAACTGCTCAGCTCCTGTGAGATCAGCCTGCATTCCTTATCCGACCTAAATCTTAAAAGGAAGAGAAGTAATTATGGTGAAACTGAAAATTAGGTAGATGCAAGGTGCTCATAATGGTCCTTCTTTCCGCCAAGTGAAAGGTCTCATTGTGTCAGTGTTGAAAGTTAAAGCTCAAAAGTTGCAGGTATCACTTTGAAGTGCTTTCCTATCGAGCTGTGTTTTCCCCACATATACGCCCACAGTGATGAAGAAATATTCTGATCCTTTACTTAAGTAAAAGTACTAATACCACACTGAAAATACTAACTCCAGCATTCAAAACTTTAGTTAAGTAAAAGTATTATCAGCAAAATTAATACTAATTGTGCAGTAAAATGGTTCCTGTCAGTGTTTTACTATAATATCTGTATCTGTAGATATTTAAGGTTGAGCTAATTTTAACTACTTTATATATTGTCGGGTAGTTTAATTTATAGCAATGCATCATCACTGTCCTGTGTGATCTGAAAAGTAACTAAAGCTGTCTGACAAATGTAGGGGAGTGAAACGTACAATATTTGCTTATGAGATGTAGTGGAGGAGAAGGATAAAGTACAAGTACCTCAAATTTTTACTTAAGTACTGTACTTGGGTAAAGCACTTAGTTACATTCCACCACTGGTGACCGCTAACTACACAACTGCCTAGTTAAATGACGGTAGTCAGAGCCACAAGTAAACATTAGTCAAACCGGAGGGCTCTTTACTTAATCGACTTAATCACCGAACAATAACTGCATTAATGAGTGCAGACTCATGCTAGGCTCTTTCTAATAAGAGCGGCGAGGATTGTGAGAATGTTGAGCTTAAGTCTAGCATGAAAAGGATTGTCTGGTGGTATTTTTCTTGGCCGGTTCATCTGGTCAGATCAAGGCAACCTTGGCCAGATGAATCGGGGCTGACTGCCTTGGCTACAGGCTGGACCTTGTGATTGGGCCACAACACCAGTTGGTCTCACCAGGTTAGGGACAAACCCATAATAGGAGTGGACATTCACTAAGATTTTTGTTTCACTAAGGGTTTGTGTTTGATCCTCTCGTCGCTCTTGCTGAGGTGTCGGGAGAGTTTCTTTTAATCACCATCAAACCATAATGCAAGTTTTTCCCAGGTCCTGGGACTTAGGTGTTGTGTAAGAATAATGTGACAGATCAATGATCAATGTAGTCAAATTCTCTTATCGCTTATCTCCCTTCACAAGGGGCTCAGGGTGCAGGATCAGCAACAGAGTGGCACCTCTGGTGGTGAAATAGATTCACAACCAGTGTATCCACTTTCCAGTGCATTACAAAGTATGAAAAGTATTACATCAGTTCCGAAAATAATTAATAAATTAAAATCCCCAGTTTGATCACGAGATACTGTCAGTTCTTATAATAAGAGGCACAAACTAGTTTTAATTTATTATAAAATGAACACTAACTATATTCTTTGCACAATGATTAACATACACTCCAAAAACTGCATCCATTTCATTAGTTTTAATTTATAAATGAGAATATATAATTGCCGATACCCTGTCTGTAGCACTGTAGCTGCTGACACAGAGCCTTGAAGGCGAGTCCAACAGCTCAATAATGGCCGCCTTAATACAGCCCAGCCTATATCATTCAGAGAGAAACATTGTGTTCATAAGGCAAAAAACACCTCAGATGAATCCCTCAGCGAAATTTTAAAGGTACAATGTGGATATCCTGGCCACATGCTCCAAACAAAATAGAGTGCAGTATTGTGCACGAATTGTGTGATTTACTAATTGCAGAGATGACAAGTGTAATAAACCTTGCAGTGTCCTCAAAAGTATAGCGAGCGCTCCAAACTTACAATCTTTCCTCATCTCATAACAGTAATGCGAAGTGGTTACAATATGGTGAACTACTACGGTCTACACTACTGGGTCCATACAATCTCAATTTACAGTTATCAGTTATTAGAAAAAAGCAAACTACTAACTAACAGGAGAATACACAAAATTCGACCAAACTTCTGAAACTCGAGCCTTCTAATTTACGTTGTAGCTTAGCTCAGTTTTAGCATGAGCATGGTAGGAAGTAAACAGCCACATCAAAACCATATAATGAAAAAGCCATTTGGAATGGTTTTCTGTATGGTTTGTGTTGGCGTTAGGTGCACTAAAGATACGTTTTGCTAAATAGCCAACTTTAGATGTTACTTACCAGTCTAAAAGAAGCGTCACGAGTTCAGCATTAAACTCGCCAAGTGCTGGCTCCAGCCGTAGAAATACACACTAATATTTACTCTTGCTTTGCATCTTTTCTTTGCCATCTTTGTGTTTCTGTGACACTAACCGGGGGGCTGTATTTTACATTCAATCTAGACCCATCTTCACAGCGCTCAGCTTGAAAAGCCCTTAGGGCAGCTCTGCTTCTTTGTCCTCTCATATTGGACTGAGGGCAGTCTGGACACTACAGTGACTCACTCTCGAGGCAAGTGGTATTACAACACAGGACGGGCCGGGGCTAGCAAGTTAGCATAATAACTTCAATAGAAACATAGACGTTTTTGACATGATGTCAGAACAGTTACTTCACATCCTGTTGTTCATTTTTTTATATTTTAAACAAACGTTCAGGCCAAATCTTACACATTGTACCTTTAACTGTAGCAGTTCAGTGTACTTTATGTTCTGATCTCTTTCATACTTGTGGAATATTTTGGCTCTTCTTTCAGCTTCAGATAACACGGGATGACTTTCAGAAGTTTGCAATTGTGCAGAACTTCACTGATAAACCTGAGAGTCTACTGAACATATTTGACCCTCATTACTAATGTAGCCTCACTCCATAGACTGGAGACTGATCTTCTAACCCTGTAGACTTTGACATTTAGGTCCTCTGACCTCTGTATGTCTTGAAATCAGCCAATTCAAACCTGACACTTTTCAATGTTGCAACTTGTGTGTGTTGTTCCATCTTTTTATAGACCCGAGTTGTATGGGTTAGGGTTGTTTTTGCCTGACAGAAGTGAGGTAGCGTCTACACTGCAGTCCCCTCCACCCCTCTAAATGGTTGTGTGCAGTCACTGCTAAAAAAGCAACACAAGTGGTAGTAAGTCACAAAGGATCTTTTGACTGGTCATGAATGGGCCACTGAGTGAGCTCTCTACCTAAACTACTTCCTGACTCAGTCACTGGACGTAGTGGTTGACACTTCTATATTCATGTTGCAGAGTGTCAGATTGATTAATCCGGGAAAGCTGCCTCCCATCAGTTTACATTTTTACAGCGCCTACATGATGGTTGGAGTGTGTTGTTCGCGGTCCAAACACAGCGCCGTTTGACACGCTGTCATTTCATCTCTCCAAAGACGTTAACCAGACCTATCACAACAACATTAATCCAACACTACAGACACTATATCAACAATTCATCTGCCCCCATCTCCTCTCGCCTCCTCTCTAAGTCCCTTTGATGTTTTCCATTTAGAAAAATCTGTGTTAAAGAGGAGAAAACAGATAAAAAGGAGAAGAGAAAAGAAATTAAATAAAGGCAAACAAGAGCGCGGTCTGGGAAAGCCATTAAGTGGCGTAAGGAAACGACCAAGTGCGCAGCAGAAATAAAAGGTTGGTGCAGGTTGGATGGAATGAGTTTGTACTGTAGCGCACAATTGCTGATGTAGTGAGTATTTTTGAGTTCCCATAGATTCCCTGAGTGGCTGTCGACTCCTGGAGCTCAGTGGGCTCTGTGGGGCGTAAGTGAATGCTTGGAGTGCGGAGTGCAGTGGAAAAACAACAGAGAGGGGAGAGGTGGGCGTGAAGAGAACAGCCGCGACCTAACACGGGGCCCCTGTAGTCCACTCTGGTTCCTCCGTGACTGTAATTCCACCCTGAGTGCCACCAAATCTGTGTATGTGCATGCGTGAGCCCTTCCTTATGGTCAGGTTGTGTACATTTGTGCTTTTAACCACCCGTTCCACATTCGCATTTTACAGTTTGACCTTGCTCAGCTGTTGTGTGTTGTCATGGGGGCTTCCTTTTATCCCAGAGGCCACCTTGGATACTCTGCCCAGCTCTAGGTGTTGATTGCTGGATAGAGAGTAACACTGGAGTACGGCTGTTACTGTAATAGAAAGTGGGGGGTGCGTGGTTTTGCCTCGGTGAAACTTTGATGTAAATCCCTGAGGGTGGTACGAGCGGGGCCAGCCTGTCCGTCAACACTTTCTTCCTCTGTCGCCCCCTGGCCTGGTTTGGACTGCTGAGAGATGGAGAGGAGGAGAGGAAACCATGCAGAGAGAAGGTTGTAGTGGGAGTTTCCCAGTACAGGATGCCGTTGTGTTGATGTTTAGATAGT